TCTCTGCAGTTTCCACAGGAGCATCATTGTAGTGTAGTGCCTGTGCACTACAAAGCGGTCTCCGACGGGGGCGACACGGCCCTTCATTAACAGCGAGAAAAACAAGACACACAACCCTTCTACATGAAAACATATCTGATATCACCTTCGTTTAAGATTAATTATATTAAGTTTCAAGGTTTGCTCGCATTTGCGGCACTATTGTTCCGCACTGCTCCATCCGCACTGCACGGGGCTCGAGGACCAGCCGTGGAACTCCGATTTCTTTGCCCTTTCTGGATGCCTTAATTCGTGCATATTTATTTCTTTCCCAACCTTAGTTTTACATTTTTATCTTTAATTTCAACTGTGGTTGCTCTTTTGGTCGTGTTGAGCAACTTGTAGTTGATGGGGACAAGTAGCCATGCTACCGACGCCTGCTGAGTGACCGGTGACCGGCAGAGCCGCCGTTCCTGAGTTCCTGAGACTCAGGAAACAGTCGACGAAAGCATCCACTTCTTTGCCTGTCATGACAATTTCATCTGGATATTTTTTGTATACTTCATTTTAAAACCAGAACTCACTTTCTGTATACTTTTCCCTCGCCATCTGTAGCAATGTCTTCCATCTACAAGACGGCAGCAGCAGTTTGCCTTGCTCTGTGTGGGCTCCAAGCCGAGGCGAACACGACTAGAAAATACAAATTTAAAGTTGTGGATGTAGGCGAAGGTAAACGTACTTACCATCTTCATTCTCATTTGTCTTGTGCTTCTGCCCACATTGTTTACTGTCCCGCCGGCAACTACACAGCTGCAGCACACCTCCAGCGGCTGCAGGCTCATTGATTACATACTGATTATCTTTTTGCCGCCCTCTGCATTTGTTTATATTTTCTATGCTGCAGATGCCTACTTGGCTGCTAACCTGGCCCGCAATGGAAAACTCCCAGTTCACATCAGTGAAGTTACAAAGGAAGACACCCTTATCACTACCTTGAAGGGAAAAGTAGCAGGCGAAGATATTGCCACTGCCGACAATTGCACTGCATTGATAACCTCCGAACTGGTGAGCAAAACGGTGTCATGAACAGAGAATTTGACCTTTTGCTGCCGGTTCTCGTGCTATGACAACAGCAGCTCTAAACCCATTACATAAAGCCCCACGTCAAATGTCCAGCAATTCAGCTGGGTGAGACATATTAAAGGTAAGCGATATCTCTTGCCTTTTGCCGTATCGTTTTGGCCTATAGAAGAAGAACTTCCACTACTCTTTCGAATACGAATCTACCTCCGAGGCCAGTCCAGACTACCGTCAATTGCTGCAGAAAGCCCTTGACGAGGGATTGACACTCTTCGAGTAAGTAGATGCCATATTCAGCATCACTATAGGCAAATATCATACGTATACTGTGTATAGCAGCACGCGCTACCTTTGATGACAAACATATAGGTAAGCAGCCACGCCTCCTTCTTTGCAACCAACTTCTCATTATTGCACCTGTGCTGTATTTTTTGCTGACATTTTTTTTTCATAAGCAAAAAATACCCCCAGTCCCAAGAAGCGTGGGAAAAGATTTGGAATGAAGATGAGGGGGCCAGCCTGGCATATCTCCTCGGGTCTAACAGCACTACAATCGGGTGCGTCATTGGAAGGTGTACCCAAGTAAAAACTTCAAGTGACACGTCACTACTTCAAGGGGGAGGTGGTGGTTCAGGAGAACCGGAAGAAACTTTACAAAATGATGCTGTACTTTTCTGTCAACTCGAACCTGCGGCGGTGAAGGACTCGGCCCCCTTTGAGTAAGTTTTGGATTTTGGCATATGCCGTCAATGAGGGGAGTTTAGGAGGGATTTACAGATAATCGATACCTGACTGGCGATGCTCCCCCTGATTATGTATGTGTTTGTTTCCTTTTTTTTCAGTGAGGAGTATTTCAACGGACTTATAGAACGAACAACTGAATTAAAAGATATGACAGAAGACGACCTGAAGAATTCGGTTGGAAATGGCCCTGTAGCAACTGCCTCTACCATTATAATTGCCGGTTTGGTTGCTATGCTGACAACCGTCTCTGCCTAGGATTCAGCATGCCCTTCGCTAATCACGTTATCCCGCTTCCTCTTCAGCTAGTGTACAGAGCGCTTTGCAAACCGAACCGCCTCTATTGGCCTCTGGCTGTGAAGTTACCCCTTCTCCACGAACAGCCACCCTCTAACTGCTGTTTCGAACAACAGAGCCGAAGCAGCAAAGAGGAAAAACGCAGCAAAGATATGTATTCCATGACTTCCCGCAATAGATACGACGCAGTGATCAGAGGTTGTACTTTGGGCTTAGTGACTCATCGTCTGGCTCTGGGACAGTCTTCCTGGACTCTGGCGGGGATTTCCGTCAGTGGATAGGATAGGTGTTCCTTTGTCGCCTGGACCTATGTCACTATCCTGCCCATGTCCTGGGGTTCTCTTCTCCTCGATGTTCTGACTAAGTTTCGCATATATGAACTTAGCGTTTCATAGATTCACGTGTTCACCTATCTCTGACCGTGTAGTTCTTACAGCAAATCTGCTCACATCTGTAGGTGCCGACGTAAAATCGAATGCAAGAGATTCAGGGTTATAAAATTCCCGAAACAGCCTCCAAATGTAGTGAACAGCGGGCTGTTACTCTGTAATGCACCCAATGCCAACCCTACAGGTTTCAAGCTCTATGCCCTAAAGGCAATCTATAATATAAGGATTCGAATATTCAAATAATTATCCTTGAAACATATTCTAGTCGAGTAATCTTAGAAAGGAAATCCAGTCAGAGTGTAAACTGCACAATCAGTCTCACAGGGGGCACTACAACTGGGTTGTTCTAGATGTTCTATTACGTATGCTAGATTCCTCGTTCTCCTACTTAGACGGAAATTCACGTTTCGCAATTAGGAACACGGGTTAGCTTGATAATATGAATAAGCACTCAGCAATTTGAGCGCCTATGTAGACCTGGAGGCCAGCGAAGGTGCAGCTGCGGCCAACTGGTTGCGGCGGAGCTAGGCGGCCTCGGAGCCGACCCCGTAAGTCCCGAAAGGTCTTCAGGGTGTAGGCTACACGGTTCACGCGATTTTCAATTTCTGCTTGCTCCATCAAATAAAACCATCTCGGGCCGTGACATTTAAACTATATTCCACGTATCGTTTTGTCTTCTAGAGCCCCTTCGGGCCTTTCTTCCCCACGCGTCTTAGCTATCCTGTGAAACCCCCGAGGGGTCTCCGGTCTAAACCGTTCGCGTCTACACCCCAGCGTTAGGGGCTATACTAACACGGTTCAAACTACTTCGTTTATTTTGCAATTTAAAACTTTCCCCTTTTGTTCTAACTGAAGGGGATTCCACTCTATCCTGCCTGCCGTGCAACCCCAGGGCACGACAAGCTCTAACCTGGTGTGGCCGCCGAGCATTCTTGACTTTGTTATCTTAAATTTCCGTCTGCAGTATTGCCGTTTACCTCTAATGGCATTGTGCTTGTCCTCTTTTATCTAACAAGGTCTCTGCAGGTTCCACTTGAGCTCCATTGTAGTGCCTGTGCACTACAAACGGTCTCTTGACGGGGGACGCCAAGAGCCTTCATGAACAGCGGTAAAGGCAAGGCACACAATCCTTCTACACCGAAACCTTTCTTGTGCTACCTTCTTTTAATATTCATTTTATTTCTTCTCGAGCGTTGCTCGCATTTTCGACACTCTTGTTCCGTACTGTTCCATTCGCGGTGCACGAGACTCGAGGACCAGCCGAAGTACTCCGACTTCTTTGCCTTCCTTCCTGCACTCTTTAATTTGCGCATATTTCTTTCTCTTCCATTTTGAAACAAAAAATATATTCAAATTCTCTCTTGCTTTTTACCACAATGGCTTCTTTGTACAGAACGGCTGCAGCAGTGTGCCTCGTCGCACTCAGTGTGCTTCAAGCACAGGCACAGGGGAATACTGCAACATACAAATTTACAGTAGAGAAGGTAGATGAAGGTGAGCATATTTTGCCCTTCATTTCACCCGTCACTTTTTCTTCCTTCGTCTCCGACGCTAAGCTATCAACTACTCAGCTGCGTCGGACGCCTAGTCGCCACATTGGTGAACTCCCTCATTTCTCTTTGCTCCTGTTTCTCCCCTGCAGACGCCTACGTGGCCGCCAACTTGGCCCGTAATGGAAAACTCCCTGTTCATATCAGTGGAGTCGCAAAGGCCGACAACCTTGTCTCTAGCTTGACGGACAAAGTGAAAGCCGCAACAGGAGCAGCTGACGCGACGTGCAGTGCATTGATAAAAGACGATCTTGTGAGCGCAACAACTACGAAAGACGGGAATACACGCTGTTGCTACGGGTTCTGATGTGGCAACGTCACCAGCAGCTCTAAAGTTTGAACTTCATTGTACGGCCTGACAAAAATTAGGTAGCCTATCAAAATATTTAGACAGACCGAACATAAAGAGGCTGTTTCCCCGTTTCTTTTACCACTTGAGTGTACAGAAAGCGGTGTTTCATCGCTCCTTCGACTACAGTGAAGCCCCCAACTACCGAAAATTGCTGCAGGAGGCTCTTGAGGACGGATTGAAAATCTTCGAGTGAGGAAGCACCGTATTCATCCCCGCTACAGACAAGTTTCATGTTTTCTTTGCTCAACAAAGCGATATAGAGGGTGCCAGACATATCTTCGGTGCCAGGCTAACTGTTTACTCTCTACCCAACTGCTATTCATTGTATATGTGTTCTGCTGTGCTGACCGTTTATGTGTGCCCAAAAGCAACACATACCCGAAGGAGGAAGGGGCATGGCAAACAATCTGGAATGATGATGCGGGTGCCAACGTGGCATACCTTCTCGGAGCTAACAGCACTCAAATCGGCTGCGTCATTGGAAAGTGCACCGAAGAGCCAGCTGAACCTGATACACTAGACAACGAAGCTGGAACTAATACGACAAATGCTGCACTTTTCTGTGAACTAAAACCTGCAGTAACGGCTAACCAGGCGGCCTTTGAGTAAGCTTTGGGTTTCGGAGTGCAACCCCCAGAAGCAGCTTACGAAAAGACTTAGACAAATATCCGCCGACACTGGAGGTGCTTTCTTTATGCTCTGTTTATGTTCTGTTTCTGTTTGCTTGTCCCCCTTCCTTGCAGTGAGGAGTATTTCAACGGACTTATTACACGCACAACTGAGCTAGAAGATATGACCGAAGACGACCTGAAGGTTTCTGTTGGAAATGGTGTAGCGGCAGCTGCTGTCCCTACGATTTTAATTGCCGGTTTTGTTGCCATGCTGGCAGCTGTCTCTGCCTAAAGTACAACGCCTCTCTAGATAAGCAGCTAGCCACTCCGCTTCTTCGTCAGCTAGGATACACAGCCATGTGCCAATCAAGAAGCCTTCCGTGGCATCAGACTGCGAAGCTTCACTTGCTGCGTGAACATCCACATTTTAGTGGTTGCTCCAAGCAAACGCGAAGAAGCATGGAGAACACGGAGCGTCGGCGTTAAGAGTGTGCACTCTGACGCCATTCCGCTTCGTATGGGTTTTGACGCGCTTCAATCAACTTGCAGCCTTCAGCAAAGTCGTTTACATCGTCCTGAACTATCTTTCTAACTATGTTTCGCCGCTAGGCAGCCAAAGTGTATGCACGTAGTTCGCTCCCCACTCCACGTGGCAGTGGCTTGTGCTGGAGATTCAAACAAACAATTAAGTTAGCATCAAAAGAATTAAACTACTATATGAATGCAGCTAACATCTGGAGCTATGAAGAGCGCATGCAACATAAGTACCAAAACGACGACAGCGGAAACGCATGAGAAGCGTAGACGATTGCTGAGTTAAGCCTTAAGATGACAACTTGGCAACTTGTGAGTTGCTGTTGGTGTCACTATGATATTCGCCTTTGTCTGCCTCTCGGTGAAATAAAATCAGGGACACAGGAGATGTCTGGGCGGCCAGAGAGGTGCAGAGAATACACAGAGTTGGGAAAGCAAGCAAATGCTGACGTAAAAGTCTAGAGAGGCGCACAAGCAAACAGATCCAAGTGAACATACGCTAGTTGCAGACAGTCCTCATATATGATCAAGGAGTCCCGTAACACTTGGTAGCGCCGCATGGTCCATCGGGGCAGGTGTCAGTGAAGAACTAGATCCCTACAGCAAGGTATCCGGGTGCGTGCCAGTCACTAGTCGTCAGGGTGCTTTGCCAAAAAAACAAAATGATTAGTAAACTTTGGACTCTCCTTAGGCATGTTAACGCAAGCAGAGAGCTTTGGTCTCTACCCGTCTTAATTTATCAATCAACTGTTGAGCACCGCTTCGTTACACTGCCGCTGGCTGTACCTGTGTGTATTTCTACTACAAATAGAGAGCTCACGGGAGAGAAGAAGGCGAAGGACAGATATAAGACGCTACAGAAGGGCTCCAACATGAGACAAGATATTAGCTTCATAAAACCCCATATCCTTAGGAGGAATTGGAGGTCTGTTGTTCCTCAGGTCGTAAGATTTACAGACAACAAACAGCACACGTGCACTTTCGAGGGGATGCACGCAGCAAATTACTGGACGCGTTTGCACTGGGAGTATTTCCATCATTCTTCATCTTCAGCTGTTTCTCGATATGTTCAAAGCGTATTATTAACTCGAGCGCGTTACTGCATCCTATTCAATCGCGGGGTACAAGGTGGGTCATGCCGCAGCGCACAAGCTCCACGCAAACGACTTGCAAGAGGCTTCTTCCCTCTGCTCGAAAATGCATCAATTGAAGTAATGCCTTTATAGATATGGATTAACGTCTTCCACTACAACAGCACTTTGTATACTTCAAGTACAGATGTAGCGGTCTGGGCACTAGGCTTCCATTAAAACTCCAGCGGTCTCCTCCGGGGGACCGCAGGAGCCTTCACGAACAGAGGTAAACGCGTAGCACGCAACTCTTCTACCTAGAAATTCTTATTTCTTCACCTTCATTACACACTAGTTACATTGAGTTTCAAGCTTTGTTTGCATTTTCGAGACCATCGTTCGGCTGTGGGCAATTGGCTGTTCGTGGGACTCGAGGACCAGCCAAAGAACTCTGGCATCTTTGCTTTCTTTCCTGTATTCATTAACCTGAATACACCTATTTCCTTTTCATTTAATAGGAACATTAAAAACTCTCTCACGCTTTCTACCGCAATGGCTCCCCTTTACAAAACCGCTGCAGTCGTGTGCCTCGTCGCACTTTGCGGGCTTCAAGCAGAGGCGAGCACTCCAACATACAAATTTACGGTCGAAGATGTGCAGGAAGGTGATTGTATAGCCCCTTACATATTATAATTTCCCCTGTGTTTCCCCCCATGTCTTGCGTTGCCAACGGCTCAGTTGCGAATCCGGCCACAGTTGATAATCTTTTCGTGACTCTCTGTTCGTTGCAGACGCCTACTTGGCTGCCAATTTGGCCCGTAATGGAAAACTCCCAGTTCACATCAGTGAAGTCACAAAGGACGACAACCTTGTTTCTACCTTGGAGGCAAAAGTGTCAAGCGAAGAACCGCCCACTGCGGCGAATTGCACTGCATTGATAACCGCCCAACTGGTAAGCAATACAGCGACACAGAGAATTTGTGCTGTTTCTACTGGTACTGGTGCTATAGCAACCGCAGCTCTAAATCCCATTGTAGAGCCCGACATAAAGTGTACAGCCATTCAGCCGGCTGAGAAGACACGCTGTCCTGCGTCTTTCCGTATCGTTTGGGCGTGTAGAAGGAGCGCTTCCATTACTCTTTCGAGCACGAACCCGCCTCTCAAGCCAGTCCCGACTACCGTCAGTTACTGCAGGATGCTCTCGACGAGGGATTGAAGACCTTCAAGTAAGTAAATGCCATATTCACCCTCAGCACAGACAAATCTCACATCAATTCCTTGTATAGCAAAACTCGAGGCCGTTCATCTCAAACGTACAAGCAAGTACCGTGCCGACTCCTCTGCACCCAATTTCCCACTACGCACCTGTGCTGTGCTTGGCTGACATTTTTTTAAAAGTAAAACATACCCCCAGACGGAACAAGAGTGGCAAAATATCTGGGAAAAAGATGCAGCAGCCAGCCTGGCATATCTTCTCGCGTCTAACAGCACTACAATCGGGTGCGTCATTGGAAGGTGTACCGAAGTAGTAACTTCCAGTCAACTGGAAGCACCTGGAGGGGGAGAAGGAGGTTCAGGAGCACCGAAAGAAACTTTAACAAAGGATGCTGTACTTTTCTGTCAACTAGACCCTTCGGCGGTGAAGAATTCGGCCCCCTTTGAGTAAGCTCTGGGCTTCGGAAGATGCTTTCAATGAGAGGAATTTAGAAGGCTTTACAGTTAATAAATACCAAGGCTGGAGATGCTCTCTCTGATTATGCGTTCCTCTGTTTGTTTCCTTTCTTTTCAGTGAGGAGTATTTCAACGGACTTATAGAACGAACCACTCAATTAAAAGATATGACAAAAGACGACCTGAAGAATTCGGTTGGAAACGGCCCTGTAGCAACGGCCTCTACGATTCTAATAGCCGGTTTGGTTGCTATGCTGACAGCCGTCTCTGCCTAGGGTTCAACTTGCCTTTAGCTAATCCGCAAGTTGTCTCGCTTCGTCTTCAGCTAGTGTACACAGCGCTTTGCAAATCAAGCAGCGTTTATTCGCCTCTGGTTGTGAATCTCCCCTTGCTGCATGAACAGCGGAGCTTTAGCTGCTGTTCCAAACAACATACCCGAAGCAGCATAGAGGCAAAACGCAGCAAAGATATGGGGGGATGTCCGAGTCTAGACTTTGAACCCTGCGTCTAATCCACCCTATACGGTGGTCGTGGTGTTTTTTTTCAAACTGCAATGCTTATCTCAGCCTTTCATTTCCCTGTGAACACTAATTCTTGTCAGAAACATACCACACCTCTAGGCAGGCAAACTGCTTGCAGGTAGTTGGCCTCTCATATCGCGTAGCAGTGAGTTATGATGGAGGTTCAAACGAACAATTCACTCAACGTCTGAACACAGCTAACAACTGGAACACGTCGGAGGCTATGCAGCATACGGAGAAATCAAGATAGCGGGAACGCACGCAAGATATTCTCGTATGCGGAGCAAAACTGAAACTTGCCTCGGAATCACGCGCATCGCTTGTAATTCTTGACATGATTCGGATACGATTTCCCCTTCGCACGAAAAG